CTTAAGTGCTGTTCACATCACAGGGGCCTGGTTCAGCCAAGGCACCCTACTTCAGGTTCAAGGATATTCAGGAAGACATGAAACCAACTGTGACAAGGATAATATGTAGTATATTAAATACAGTTATGAAATACAGGTGCAGGTGATTAATAAACAAGCAAAAGAAAGCTTGTGCACCCTTTCTTTGTGGCCTGTTGGTTCCCTGAACCAGCCAGTGGTGTTCCATGGGCCTCCAAAAGTGTCTGAATCAACATGTCAATTTTTCTACCCAAGCTGAAAACCAATGACATTGCCTTTTGCTGTGTAGTTCATAACTTTCCTCTCTCCCACATCTCTCTGTCAGGATGCACCTTGGCTCCCTCCTCTTTTTCCTGGGAATAAGGCATTTTTGGTAGGGTAAACAGCTTTGTTCCCACTACAGAGACATGCCTTATCTGCAGAATGATTGGAGAAAGCAACTTCAAAGCCATTAGCTCTGGTGTTCTTAACAAGCAGAAAGGCATGAGGCCTTAGCATGCTTTCAGGAAACCATGTTGTCTTTTAAACACTAGGCAAGTTCACTCCATAACCCGCTGAACCTTAGAAGCTGCCTTACCATTCTTCCACTAGAGTCTGAACAATACAGGTGGCCAGCCACAGAGGAGTCTGGAAGATCCATTCTCATCCCTTTGCAATCAGCCTTTGCTTTGAGTTGCTCGTGTCTTCTCTAGCTCTGCATTGGCATTGACTGGATACTTCTGATGCAGAAGTGCAGCCAGATTATCTGCTCTCAGAGGAGTGAATGGTGTGTCTGCATGAGTCACTGCTCCTGTGATTGTACATCTGGTTAGAACACATACACCAATCACTGTTTCATTCTGCAGGGTGAAGTCGAGGGAGAGATGCTGCTCTGAGGACAGAATGTTCGTAAATATTACAAAAAGTAAAGCTGTTGGGTATAAGCATGAAGCATGCTTAATTCAGAAAGTGTGTGTCCATTAGGGATGTGTAAGGAATCCACACTGTGGGGTGGGAATCTGTAGGATTTCCACGGCTTTGCTCCCCAGATTCTGGCCTGCTTTCTCACAGCTATGAGTGTGACTTAGTGCTGACCATACTGAGCATTCATGGGAGCACCTGCCAAGAATCAAGCAGCATTATTCTTCTGTGTACGTGGTTTTATGCTTTGTCTTTGCTGCACATGCCAAGGAAGAAGGTTGCTGGTTGCACAAAAAGATTGCTGGTTACGCATTTGTGGACTTTGCCTTAGCTCAACTCATTTTGTAAGCAAGGAAAGAGCATGAGATGAAATCTAAAGAACAGAAGAGGGTGGAGAATCTGAAAAGATCATCGCAACCCCGGTGTCCACTATGCTGACTTTGGTACAATTCATTATACCAGGACTGTCCTTTTTTGTATACTTCAGTGTACTAATTGCATATAGAAAAAGGATCTTAAAATGTACACGCAGTCCCCAAGTTATAAATATGCAAGTTATGAGCAACCTGTACTTATGAATGAACTTTCACAAAGCCTATTAATTTTTTAAAAAATCATAACCACCATAGAGAGAGAGGAAGTGAGAGGGGAAAGAGAGAGGTCTCCAAAGCATCACCATAGAGGGGGAGGGGGGAGGCCGCCAAAGCAGAGAGGGAAATCCCTCAGGCATTTCCTTGCTGCAGAGAGGAGGCACTGGTGAGTTTGAGTGGGGAGGGGGCCTGGAGGTATTTCTGTTTTTTCCATGTTCACAGGGGTCTTGCACCTTTAACTCCTTCAGACGTGGAGGGTCAACTATACATGATCCAACTTTCATTTATGTAAGCGGTCCTGAGGCTCTGCGATAGGACGGCATACAAATACTCTAAATAGATACATATGTACGTATGTACGTACAAACAAACAAATTTGAGTTAAAGACAAGTATCCATTGCCTCAGGAATGGAACTCATTCGTAACCCAAGGACTGCCGGTATTAGCATTAAAGGGAAAGCTCAGTCAAATCTATAGCGAATTTCCCCAATATCACCACTTTTCAGTACTTAGTAAAATGGTTGATAGGCTTTTGGATGACTTATTCCATAGTCTTGTCTAGAAACTTGTTTCTAAAAATGATAACCAGCTACATTCCACACATTGCTTATGCAATTGCAAAGCTGTCCTGCTTGTTGTTGTCAGTTTCATTTTGATTAATGGTATTACGCAGAAATCTAAGAATAATTTTGTGTACTATATAGTAGATGCATGCACTTACATACTTTCATTTTTTATTATGCTTTTGTGTGCCAAGAGAGCCAGTATGGCATACTCTGTAGAAGGCTGGGCTAGGGACAAGTGCTTAAGTCAGTCGTGATGTTCACTTGTCCCTGGGCAAGTCGAAGTCTCTCACTAATCTATCGCACAATGTTAAATGGGCCAGGGAGATCCCTGTATGCCTCCCTGAGTTCTTGGGAGGAACAGCAAGATAAAAATATAATAATATTTTTTGCACGCCTATTCATTGCTTTAAAAATGACAAATATTGTGTGCTTTCCTCTTGCCATTCCCCAGACTTCCCTTCTGGGTGACTTTGGCATTAATTTGATCAGTACATGCCTGATAGAGCAAGCTGTAGTTTACCCCCCTGGAGTCAGAGCTGGTTTGGAGAGAGGTTCCCTCTGTAAAGACGGGAACAAATTTGTTCAATCTGCTAGAAAGAGGTCACTTGTGCCTTCTGGGCATCTTTGGGCCTGTAATATCTGTAGCAAAATGTGCATACTGAGGGTTGTGTTTTTGTTTTTTTAGAATTTTTATGATTCTGGACCCATTCTCTTTCCTCCCTGCCTATTTTGTGCAGGCAAATATTCAATAAATAACGTTAACATTAATCTTGAGAGGGGAGATGTAGAAGGATTCACCAGCAGAATTAGTGGGGAAGGAAGCAGACCATCAACTGGTGGGGGAAACAAAGTGCATGCTTTAATGTTTTGTATTCATTAGCGAGCAGAATGTCAATCATTAGGCTATGTGCTGGTGTGTAAAGCCTGTATAATGTAAGCATCACTGAAGGGTGCAGTGTATCATCATATGCACAAAGATGCTTCTTATCACCAAAACAGGGTCCCTGCTTGTAGCATTTAGCATGCATTGCCCTCACTCAAATTACCTATAATTTGTTCATGCATTATTTTGGAGTCCAGTCTTATGGCCTACTGTGCCATCAAAGAACTATATAGATCAAGTGTAAGGATTTCTGTCCAAGCACCATGTTATCATGAGCAGTGTTGCTCAGGTTCTGCCAGTGGAATGTGGTGTGTCCAGCCAGGTGTCTCTTTAACCTGGTTCCTACTGAGAGCATAAACCTCAGTCTAAGTGCCCCACTTCGGGTTGCAAATGGGGACTTCCTTTCTCCATGAAAAGAACAAAGCCCACTCTGTCCACATAGAAAACTAGGTATCAGAGCTGGTGTCAGGACTGTAGTCTGGCCTTCTCTCTGCCATGCTAATTACGGGTCAATGCATAAACATTTTGGTAAGAAGGAGAACTCAGCTATGCATGCCCCTCCCTGCAGTCTGCTTTGGGACATCTCAGACACAGGTTTACCTTACCTGCTCTCTGTGATTTGCATCATGTCCAAAGGCCTTCAATGTGCAGAAATGTGATTACGCATAAAGAACAAATTAAATGTGACTTTTAAGCATGATCTTTCTTTTCTTTTCTGTTATGTAAATAACAGTCAAGAGGAGGCCTGAGCAACTTCTGGACTGTGGGGAAGAGAAGTTTAACTCTCTCCTTCCCTGTGGTAACCTCAGTAAAAATCACCCCTCTGGAGCTGTTATTCACATTTCAAGGGAACCATCCTAGGACTCTGCACTGGTCTCCCATTTCTCCACAGAAATGTCTGTCGGCAGCTGTATATGAAGCACAAGAGTTAGATTTTGCTGCTTCCTCCAGACGTTGCTGTGATACCCCAGAGACACCACTGTCAATGCCTTGTTTCCTGGAAGTGGCACGAGAGACCCAAACGTTTCGGAGAGGCAGGGAGAACCTTCCTTGGAGATGCCTTGTCTTCCCCACCCCTTGCTGCCTTCAGAGTTTCTGGGGGAAACTGGCCCAGTCTCAACCATGGAGGAGATTGAGTATATGATAGGAGAAGAGAAAAGGCAAGCATGGACAGGCTGCACTTTTTGTTTTTGCTTCAGCTATGAGAGTGGTTTGGGGATACAGGGGGGCTGCTGCCTCCATCATTAGTAGATGGCTGGAGATTTGTAAGTTTTTAAAAAATACCCTAACTTACTATATAAATGAATGTACAAAGTCACTTCCATGAGCCATTTTCCTCCTCCCGACCAGCACCAGTCTCAAACCGTTTCCGTGCTTGATAATCTTTAATGTATCACACAAATCTCTGAGCATACAAAAGTAGTAAGTTGAACCCTATCTACTACTCATTTCCCAAGCCGCTCCTTTTGAACCCATCTGTGCCCTGACCCTGAAGGAGGTACACTGTGAAAACACCTCTGCTGCACCCACTGTGCCCTTAGTTGGGCTTCTCACTGGTGTTGGCACCTAAGCCACTGGGTCTGCCTCTGAAAGGGAGAGTTGGTCTCCAGTGGCAAGATCTCCCATTTCATCATCTCCTCCCATGGACTGTAACTCCCCATTGTTCCCATGATTGATGTGATCTGCATCCCCATCTGACCTTGGGCAGATCTCTTCTACTGCATCCCCCAGCTGAGTCCCAGGACCCTGAGCTGCAGCTTGTGGCTGTGCAATCTCACAAGCAATTTCATCCTCCAAATCTGAATCATTAAAAATACCACATCAGCCTCTCATGAGCACGGCAGAGCTAACAATGATAAGCAGTGAAAACATAATTACAGATGACATTAGACCATGCAGTGAGGAGCTTCTTCTGGTGCAGATGTGTATTTTAACACACAGCAAATTGGCAGTTCGCAGTATCAGCTGGTTGCTTTCTCCTTCAAATATGTTCCCTTTAAACTTTCTGTATTTCTCATTTCTCTTCCCTTATCACTGCTTAGGTCCAGCCAATCACAATAGCTCCCTCTTAACATCACTTCCCATCCCAGGACGGCCTCTACATCCACCGCTGGACATCAAGAATTTTTTGACGTTCCGCCTCAGTGGGACACCACCGCTCAACCTCTTTCCCAACTTCAACACAGTGAGTTTTCCTTGTCCTGATCTAAAACTCTTGCTCAGCAAGAGAGTGAATTTTCCCAGCTTCCCACCTAAATTCAGGTCGCAGCAAGACTGGCTTGCATGTTCTGAGTCAAAGCCCAACAAGTGGTCTTCTGTCAACCTGCAGTTATTACCTGTTCATAGTGCTGGAGCGCCACTGCATTCCTCCAGCCTTCTTTGTTATCTCATCGCATAATTTACCCTGTTGATCTGCTGACTTCAAGGTCACTCCAGACATTCCTGCTCAGGGCTGAAGTTATGAGTGGTATCTGTAGAAATACTGCAAGTGCAGAATGCCTTCATACACTCGCTCACGCTCATCAAGCTATGCCAGTCCTCTTTCATTACCGTTGGAAAGCTTAAGCTGCCTGACTACTCTTAACGAGAGACATGAAGGTCATGGAGGATTGCTATGCTACTGTAGGAATGGTCATTTGATAAGGTTGTAGCCGTTGGTGGTCTTTGGATGCTCATGGGGATTCTCGGAGATGTGTTTAATTAACTTTTATCTTCTGTGAGTTCCTGTAGCAGTCTCTGTAAAATTTGCTTTGCACATTCAGTTTTCTTTGCATTATAGAAGGTAGAAATTAACAGAAATACCCTTGGCTTGAATCAGGTTGTGTTAAGACATGGGTGAACACCATGCATCCCCATTCATGCCCAGAAATTTATTTATCTATTTATTTATTTATTGCATTTATATCCCACCCCATAGCCAGAAGGCTCTCTGAGCGGCTCACGGTGCAATCATAAACAATAATACAGATAAAAATAGAAATACAGATAAAAATAGATGACAAGAATAACTAAAACCATGCAACAGAATAGAATAGAATGCAAATGTATGTATAAATACAATGGGAGTATAAACACAGTATAAAGAATAAAATAATCAACCAATAAAGCAATAACAATCCAGCAGCAGCAAGACCCATAGTCATAATCTAAGAACAGATACTAAATAATACTGTGGGTTTCAGGGACAGGGGCAATGTGGAGTTGTCCACTCCTGGATTAAGGGCTTTTCATGTTCACTCACACTCCAACATGCCGGGAAACCACAGCTGCTAAGGACCAAACCCTTAACAGATGTATTATTTAAGCAATATGAATGTGGCGTGATACCCTGTGTTATGGTGACTTCCAGTTTCACCACTGCATTAGAGCTGCATATCTCTTAGTGGTAGAGGAGCACTAGCAATCAGCAGCTATTAGCTGTGGCAGCTAGAAAGAACCTTTGCAAGAAATGGCTGATGCTCCTTCCTGCCCTATCGCAGAGGCATCCGGCTGACCACTGCAGGGAACAGGATGCTCTTCTAGATTGACCTTTCATGTAAACCAGCCAAGCAAAATCTCACACCTAATCACAATTTGATAGAAGCACCAAAATGTTCAAATGCAGCTTACCTTTGAATACTAGTTGCTGTGGGGTTTGTACTGTTCTGTACATCCAAGGGGCATGGTGCCCAGCACACTAGAAATCCTAAAGAGGACAGACCCCTCTACAGAAGCACTGTGGGTGACAATACCAGGCTTCAAAAGTAATTTAGTACAAGTAAGTTACTCAAAAGTAAGTTACTAATTACAAAAGTAATTTCTTACAATGATGATGGAGGGTATGTATTATAAGTATTGTAGTAATAGGTGACTTCTTTATCCATTGACTGGATAAAGGCACATTCCAGTTATGACAAAGAGGTTACCTGTCTTAATGCCCTGAATGACTGTGCCCTAGAACGACTGGTTGTGGTACCAACCAGAGGGGAGATGTCCCTGGACTTAATCTTAAATGGTGCTACCCAGGACCTAGTACGAGATGTGGGTGTTGTCAAAACATTTGTAAACAGCCCAATGCTATCAATTTAATTTATATTTAAGAGGGGAGATGATAAGGAAGTACAGCACAGAAAAAGAAACTTCTAAAATGAGGGAACTGGTAAAAGGGGAGAGTAGAAAGGAGGATTCAAAGGGTTAAATATTTCCAAAATGTTTAGAGGTTACATAAAACCATAAAAATAGAAGCTTAAGCAGAACATCAGATTCAGGTCACCAGCATGATTAGTGCCATGTCATGGAAGGCCTCCTTCAGCAAATGAATGCCTTGCCCAAATGAGAGAAACGAAAAGGAACACATACTTGCACAAGGGAAATGCAAGAAGTCCATAAGGGGTGCAAAAATATTTTGAGGAGTATATATTATCAAAAATAATTTTTTGTTGCTGAATCAGGAGCCAGAAACCAGCTAGAGGGGCAGTTGGACCATCAAATGAGAGTGGAATTAGAGGACTATTAAAGAAAGATGAAGTTGCAGAGTAGCTTAATGAATTCCTTCCATCTGTCTTCACTATGGAAAGTCAATAGGTGAAGTTTCCTGCATACAGACATGCCAATTTTACTGCATTAAACACAATCAGCTCAAAAAATATTTATGAACAAACAACTGTAAAGAGGGGACACCATCAAGTACACCAAATAGCCACACACAAAACTTACTCTAATTCTCATTCTTTTATAATTACACTTGATCCCATCTTTCATCTTCAAAGAAACTCCTTAAGGCAGTGTACATAATTTTCATCTCCTCCCTGTTTATCTTCACAACAATTTGAAGCTGTGGGAAAAGTAAGGGAAAAGGACCATTCACAGGTGCTCCTGGTATCCTGCAGAGAGCTATGTTTTAAACTGTTACCTAAGAGGGATGTTCACACATTACATTGCACATGCATCAGTACACAATGTATGCATGCTCACACAGTTGAAAATCTATCCAGGTAATCATACCTGAGTGCTAGATTCAGACAACACACTAAACCAACATGGTGGGTAGACTGCTGGGTTCAGACAACTTGCTTATAAGCTACAGTGTGTTACTATGCCACACAAACTTCTGATAGGTTTGTCAGGATGGCTTATACTGTTCATAAAAATGTGAATACTGGACTTTTTCAGGCAGCCTCTCCAAGGTGCCAGTGAGGTACTTTGAAGGGACTGCTCATGGCTACCTACAGTGGATTGTGGAAATCAGCTTCACAGAAGCTTTGATGGTGAGCCAGAAAGGATTCACAGGAGGGAGGGAAAAAAGTCTTGTTTCTCTCATGGGAGACCCACAGGAAGACTGAGGGGCAAGGTGAAGGATGGAGCCTTCTACTGACAATGTGCTCAATTGTCTGCCACGCTCCTCAGGGGCAGAATAGTTTATGATGCTGTCTGAACCCTGCCATTACAACTGTATCCTCAGTTTTTGGCCATATAAATAGGAAGCATGGGGATGAAGACTGATCCAGATTAGGAGTGAAGTGGGTATAAATGGCTAAAGTCCCCCTACCTTCCCACAATGCTAAGATCCCAATCTATGAAGTAATGTGTAGTGTAACCCTGGGAGGCCTACCCCATAACTAAAGGAATAAGCATTGCACATGCTTACTTTGTCTGCAACAAACAAACCTCCTGAAAAAATAAAAATACGAGGAACATTCTAGCTTTAAAGTGAATAAGCATGCAGAATATGACTTTACAAGCTGTTGCTGCTATATTTTTAATGGAGCAAGAAAATCTGAATAAACTTTGTTTACCAAACTGATAAATGGAAGCTTTCTTAGCCAAACCTGAATTTAGTTCATCTGCAGTTTTCACCAAGTTTTCAAAGAAATATATGATATGCCTGAGCAAAAGTTAGATGAAAAAGAATTAATCTGTCAATTTTCAGTGCCTCTTAACTTGTAGCACCAATGGCAACTTTAAACATATTGCACAATTGTAGACTTCATTAAGTAGTACTTAGCAGACCATGTGCATCAAGTTTAAGTTATTATTTCAATAGGTTTCATTGGGAAAGTAGTAGAACTTTGCATTCTATAATGATGTGTGAACGAGGGAAAGACTTGCCTTAACTAAAAAGGTTGCTCTTGTCCCCTTTTAATTCCAAACTAATAAAAAATTCTGAAGAGCAGTTGTTCATCGTAACTCCCCATAGTCACACCCTCATGGAGAGAACAAAAATACAGGAATGTGTGTTCATTCATATCAGCAAACAAATTCTAACAGTTTTCATCTCTGGCAGGAGTGAGTCTTATATAAAACTGTTGGACTTAGAAGCCAGTTCAAGACAAGACCACCCAGAATGCTTTCATTATAAGTGGGGTAGCTCATAACTATAAAATGTTGCTGAAAGCAGATTCAGCATTGCTATCTCAGCATAAGGACTGCAGATAAGCTCAGAGGGAACTGAGAACTCTGAGGGGGTGGCAGAGGAAATCGGCTTCCTGCTAATCAGAAACTGTGTCCCTGCAAGACCTAGGTCTACTGCACTATCGTCTGCCCCTAGAACCTGTGGACGTGGTAACTTACATAGCTACCTATACAAGAATTAAGTTCTAGGAGAGGTTGTGGCACCTTCTTTTCAGGAAAAAATGCCTGACTCGGCAGCTTGAACCAGGACTTGACCTTGGGTTTCTGGGCTTGGGACCAGATCTAGTGAACTTCTGTGGAACCACAGTTCTAACCAGGCCTCAGAGCCTTCACAAAGTGTAGAAGGGAAGAGGAAAATACACATCCCTCTTTGAAACTGGCAGACAGTATGAAACTTCTGGATCCACTCAACTTAGTATAAATATTGGATGCCATGCCCTCTGCTGCTAACCAGTGAGCAGAGCAGGACCTTCTTTTTCTAACTGTCCCATTGCAACCCCTAACCTCAGGAATCCCGAACTGGAGAAGAGACTAGATATGGATGCAGTCACAACCCAAGATGGCACTGATTAGAAAGTCATGCTGCTTTTTGTAAAGAAACCCTTTCCTTGATTTCAACCAAATTTCAGACATACAGAATGTGCTGAGACCCAGCTTCAATCTTATCCTGCAAATTAGAACTCTTAAATTTGTTTTTGTAACTATGTATGTTCCCCTACTTTGGATAAGTAGAGAGTGGAAATAAATGGGTATTTCACACAATAGAGGGTTGTATGAAGTGAGGTACCCTAAAGATCTGTATTGCTCGGGACTGGTGCTTTTTAACTTAAATAATCTGGAACTGGGAGTGTGTAAAAGCTTGTGGGTGAAAAGGTGTCAAATTTCATGGATGACCTCAAATTGTTCGGGATAATCAAGACAAAAAGAGATGGAAAAGAGCTCTAAAGGGACTTGTCCAGGCTGGCAAAAGCAGTTCAGCACAAGTAACTGTAAAGGAATGTGGTAATGCCAGCCATCTTAGATGGCTCTGAAAGGTGTTTAGGCAAATTCATGGAGGAACGTGCGATAAATGGCAATTAGTCATGGTTGCTATATGCCATCTCTGGAATCAGAGGCAAGAGCCTCTGACTGAATACTGAATACTGACTTATAGGAAACCGCAGTCTACTTATTTTGCACTTGTGTCCCACTTAGGACTTGTTGAAGAGCTGGTTGGCCACCGTAGGAAGCAGGACTAGAATGGCCTTTTATCTGATGTAGCAGGGCTGTTCTTAGTTTCATACAAATTTGATTTGGTTCTGACTTTTCCTTGCATCCAGAAGTTGTACTCCTGATAATGTATTGAAAAACACAAGGCCTGAAGACCTCCCAAATTTCAGCATAACCTAGGATGGCCAAATGACCTACTTTACAAAGGATTGTCCGCTATTTGAAGGTATTCTTTATTTGAAGGGCTGCCCAGTTGATATCTAGCTTAAAGAAGCTAAGAAGGGAAAGCAAGAATGTTGAGGCGGTTGCCATTAACAATTAGAATCTGGACAGTAGTTTGACCAGACATGCAGGTCGTCCAATCTTCCCTGCCATGGTGAGGCATATTTGTTTCTATTTATATTGTTGCTTTGCTGGTTTGTTGCTATACTACCAATAGTTGAAGCCACCTCTTGGTAACTCAGTAAGCTCAGTAACTATTTCTGAATCTGCACGTATACATATACATTACTATTTGCAAAATTTTATGCAAACCACTGCCCTCTTTCAGGTTATGGATTTACTCTTTTCTGCTCCCCTGCTCCCACCCCCTTGCAACCCCCTTTCGTTTTGTTCAAAACTTACCTGCCAGCCTGTAAAACATGGGCAAGAACAGCATCTTGGGTGCCAAAGTCTCTGGAAATTGTTTCCCAAGATGTCTGGGTCCTTAAATAAAACTACCTTTCCTTGGGATCTGGATGCCTGCAGGGCTGACATGGATCCTAAATATGGCCATAAGAGTAGCCACGCTTCTCATCACCACTGGCTCTAGGGAAGAAAGGAAAGAAGCAGCTTGTGGCAGCAGAAAATGCTAGAGCTAGTTTGAACTGTGCCCAAACTCTGCAGTGAATTGGGTTTGACTTTTACATAGCCCAGGAGTTATGAACTGGGAACACTACGTTTCCATGTTCCAGACTTCATATCACCACTGTTTTTCTCTACTCACTCTCTCAATTTTCCCATTTCTATATTGCCCCAAGCAAATAGTGGTCTTGGAGGTAATTTGATCCATTTTATTTTTGCATGTAACCTGCTTTGGAGCCCTGTCCCACCTGTTGAAAGCCACTGGCCTACAATCTCCCTTCCAGTAGGGCAATTCTATGGAAACTGTTCCCAACCAAACAAGTAATTCCATACTTAGAAGGTGTCCCAAAGCCTTTTCAAATGTGCAAATCCCTTGAAGATTTAGCAGTTACTTGCCAAAAGTCATCATCTGAGCCTCCTGTGTCCCTTTTTGCTTTTCCATCTTTGACCTCCAGAGTCTGGACAGGAAGTTCAACACAACTATCTCTATTTATATATCAGTGGGAACATCCCAGGGATAAAACAGAAGTAACTTGAGTCAATGCAAATTAGATATAAAGCAGGGATATTTTTTAACCTTTCAGAATGCAGTGCCCTCAAAAGATGCTCTTGAGTTTACTGAGAATTTGCTCCCCAAGCTAGGGGGCTGGAAGATCTTTTCAGCAACCCTTTTGGGATAGTACCTCAAGAACAGGAAAAATGGTAGGTAGGTACCATTTTAAGGGCAGGAAAAACAGACTGGCAGGCATTGTGTTGTCAGAGACCGTTCTTCCCATCAACTGAAATTAGCAGACTTTAAGCATTGCCTTCTTGAATTGAGATTTTGCATATTTAGAAAGGAGGGGAGAGTGATGCTGGCTGCCTAGACAGTTTAGAAATGAAAGTGCTGGGATGTTGGAGCAACATTAAGTAGCAGTGAAAGGCTTCTTCTCCAGAATGGACAGAAAGCTAGCTCATGAGGAAGCTTGCTTTTAGGGCCAAGAGGATAAGCTGGAGAATATTGAGAACCTGGCCCCGTTGATAGGCTGTCACAACTGGGAGGATTTTGTTTGAGTGCAGGACTCCGGCACTGTAACAAAACAGTTTATACTTCTTTGATACTCTCTTACTTTAAAAGTTAGTGATCTGAGCATTTATGATAAAGGCAGATGACCTGAGCAGTTCCAGAGTCTTGCAGGTTCTTGTACAAGAGATTCTTAGACGATCCTTAAAATAAAGTTATATTTTAATTTTGATTAATTTAATTTTTCAATTTATATCCTGCCTTTTTCCTAAAGGGCTCAAGGCAGCTTACATCTCCTCCTCCATCTTATCCCCACAACAACAACCCTGTGAGGTAGGTTGGGCTGAGAGTCTGTGACTGGCCCAAAGTCACCCAGTTGGCTCCATGGCTGAGCGGGGACTAGAACCAAGGTCATCTGAGTCCCAGTCCCATGCTCTTAACCACTACACCACACTGGCTCTTTTAAGTTATTCCTCATTTCCTTAGCCTGTTTTGGACCCAGAAGTGGAAAGTGAGGTGCACGCTGAATTAACTGGCAGCAGTTCTGTGTGCAATGAAGCACCTCTTCATGTAAAACACACTTGAGATAATGGGTCAGGCCTTGCTGCACACCCTTTCCTTGTGTGCTGCATGATCCTACAGAGGACTTGGGAAGGGCCATCAATGTGCAGCACCACCTCAGGCAGGCCATCTCACTGTTAGATTTCAAGGGAAACATCTTCCTTCTTCATAGGACACTTTTAAGCTGAATGGCTGGAATAATTATAACTGATTGCTCTGATTTGCCAATATTGTGGCTTTGCTGTTTATGAACTCAGTTTGTTGATTTAAAAAGATATAGACAAATATATGAAAAGCCCATTAGCTTATATATAAATATAGCCTATTAGTCTTGATATATTAATAGAGCTTCAATATTCAGAAGCAATATACTCCAGAATGTCAGTTAATATGGACAAAAAAAACCCCATCTGCTTTTAACCTTTCAGGAGGGTTCTGGTTGGCTACTGTGGAAAATAAACTGTTGGGCTAAATTGTCTGGTCTGATCCAGCAATGCAGTCCACCTTTTCTGATTGATTATACACTATGGATAGCTTTTTATCAGAGAGAAGAGTCAATAACAGTTGAGAATAGACATGGGATGTGTGTCTTCATGGCCCAACAGCAGAAACTAAGTGCTTGCGCAGATTCCTTCTCACTCCTCCCACTTTTCCTCCTGTGATCAGATGCCGAGTCTTGTTCCATGTCCTGCATCCCTGTTCCAGGTGGATGTTGCCTTGAGCACATCACCATCAAGGGTGGAACAGAAGGGTCCTTTCATCACGCAAGGCCTCCGATTCACCTCCACCACCATTCTCCCTGCCTCAGACTCTGCATATACTTCTTCATTTTTATTCCAGATGAGTGAGTAAAAATTTCATCATGAGCATGGGAAGGCATCACTTCATTAATCATTTTCCATTGCCAAGTCCTCTCCCTTTGGGGCTGGAATTTAGGGGTCCAGATAATTATTCCCTTGTCTGCACGCTTTGCTGCTAGACTGATGCACCTGTCTGAACAACTAAATAGCTTTGCTGAGAAATACGATCACCTTCAAACCTCAATCTCTTTTTCCCTTCTTCCTGACAGCCAGCCTCAGATAAGATAATCTTCTGGAGCCACAGGGCTAAGAGAACAATACTTGTATTATAGATTATGCTTGTGCTCAAACGCACACATTATTTTTATATTTGCTTTCCCCCCCTTTCACCTCTCCACTCCTTGCTCTAATCCTTTTCCACATTAGTTAAGGCAGCCATTTTGTTAGAAATTATTATGGATTTTTAAACATCTTCTAAGAGCAAAGGCTGAGGAAACAAAATGAAATCAAGAGTTGGAGCAAATGCAGTAGTATGTATAGATTTTACCCTAGTTTCTAGCAGAATTTTCTGAATCTTGTTGATTCTTTGTTTAAATCTTGGCTTTAAGTTATTTTCCTCTGCTTTTAAGCTATCAGACAGCCATGGATGCAGTGTCCAGGCTGCGTTTCCTGGCATTGTGTAAATTAATGATCCATCACACCAATGCTTTGTATATAGTGAAACACATGGAAACATGTGGTTCTTCAGCAGACTGTCATTTGTTCCTCACTTAGGAGGCCAATAATAGCTGATCAGGTCCCTGGAAAGACAGCTTGACCAGCAGTGCCCTATTTCCTCAGTATTACACAGTGATAAAATTGTTGGGGGCATTCAAGGGTGTGCATTTAGTACATATTAGACAACAGCAAGGCTTGTGAAGCCTGGCCAGCACCCTGCAGGAACCGTATGCATCCTAGAACATTCCCTCTCTCCTAAGAGAAACCCATGCAATGCATAGAGATTCTGCAGCAGAAGTGCACATGTTCTCCAGCAAGCAGGTAAAGGTAGAATGGGTTCTTTGAAGACAGACATTTTTTAAATTCCATTTTTTAAAAATTCTGGGTCTCTGACACATAAGTTAATGGGATCTGCTTTTCTCCACATCCTTCTCTCCAGATGGATCCTGTACAGAAAGCAGTCATCAACCACACCTTTGGCATACCCAACCCACTCAAGAAGAAGCAGTTCATCTCTTGTAATATTTGTCACCTAAGGTTCAACTCTGCGGTAAGCCACATCCCTGTAGAGCAGGAGCAGGCAGGTGGGTGGGCAGGTGGGAGGTGATTGCGAGTGCCATCCCACTTGCCAAGCATACAAATCCATTGCAGGTATGGAAGAGAGACATGGGGAATTATGCTGAGGTTCAGAGACAAGTTCTGGTTACCCCATTTCAGGAAGTATTCCTCCCCCCAATTTATTTTAAATTGTTTAGCTGCTAGCAACAACTAAATATATATTGCCCAAAAGAACACTAAATTACAAAAGCAGCACATAGTAAACAAGCATGGGTTAAAATAGGAATGCACAGAAGGATAAATTGTGATCTACTAATCAACAACAACTAAAAAGACTCTTCCTGACCCACCCAAATTAGGACACTGTTGGTTTGGTTTGGTTTGGTTTGGTTTGGTTTGGTTTGGTTTGGTTTGGTTTGGTTCTGGGACAAATCATGAATTCCTAGGCTAACCCTGTGCTCAAAAGTACCTTGTTCCTTAATCATTATTGTATGTCTGTGTCCCATGCCACTCATTTGCCACTCATATTTGGTTTGCATATAGAAGTTTGCAGGTTCCGTTCCCAACATCTCCAGGTACAGCAAAAACCCCTCCTTCCTGAAATCCTGGAGGTGTTGATGGTACTGGGCTAGATGGATCAATGGCCTGACTCAATGGCAGCAGCTTCCCGTATTCATCTGGCCCTGGCAATGGATCTCAGAATTCTGAGGAGGAGCAGGAAGAAGAGGAGCATCTTGAAAGCCTCTCGACTGCCCATTCCTGGCTTAAAAACACATTTAAGAATCAGGGTTTCATAGTCTACATAAAATGCTGAAAAGTTTAAACGCTGCAGTCACAATTAAATCATGGCTGGTTCAGCTGCCCAGGGTCCATGATCAAAAATAGCCCATGGTGGGCTTACACAACCACTTAGATATATCCTTTGATACGGAGTTGTTCAACAAGAGGCTAATAATCCATTGTCTCTACTTTCAGTTTCATCCACAATTGAGATTCAACATGAAGACCATTTCCTTTCATGTTTTTCAGTTATTGAACCTCTAGGTGGGATTGTGGTAGTGTGGTAATAAATAAATAATCCAAATCCAGGCTAGACCTAATTACTGCCTCCTTTAAAGGCTGTCATTAGGGTCTAGGAGGTTGTAAACTCCTTTCAAGGAGGAGTTTACAACCTCCAAGAAATGTAATAAACTATGAAGGACAAGGTTCAGGCAAACAGGTGGTCGACCAGACTTGGCCAAGCACCTTGGTCACATCCTCAGACCTTAGTAACTAAAACATATACAGTAAAACCGGACCACCTGGTGCTCTGGGCCACTCTAAACTGCATTAATCATGATGTCCAATTTGGGATGAAGCTGCCCAATCTTACCTTTGAAATGCTGTACAAACTTGCTACAGCATGCTACCAAGGGTTACACTATTTCTCCCCCTGTCTCAGAGTGCAGCAGGCCCCACCGACCACGTGGAAAAGCTCTGCTGGACAATACTTCAGTGGTGGTGAAGAAGAACCCCTTCTTGGCTGTCCTTCCTGCCACAGTGATGGCTCAGCAATGAACTCTCACTCCTGTTCAGTCAGACATGACACAAGTGTTCCTCCTGGCGTGTCCCAGCTGTCTTCCCTCCTGTTCCATTGCCCTCAGCCCAGGTGCATCCCAGGCTCTGCTCAGAGGGCAGTTGGATGCAATCGCGTCTCCTGCCTGAGTCTTTGCATTCCACAGTTTGACCTGGACTTCAACAAGCAAATCAAGCTATTTGCTTTTACCCGATACAGACATCCTGTGTCCAGCAGCTCCCAAGCTACAAATCATCTTTTGTATTGGTTCTGCTTGCCTTTAGCATTTCCCTGCTCAGAATGGCACAGGAGCTGGGCCCCACTGACGTTCAGCTCAGAGCTGTTTGCTCTGTGTTGGCCACCTAGCAAACCAGTGGGTCGTATCTCCTTTCCTTCGCTCAACCCCCCCACCTCTTGCCATAAGCTTCCTATTTCATACGGTGACTTCACCCCCTCCCTGCCTCATGCTGCACACCCATATAATTCAATTTCTGGCATTGTTCCTTGCCTGGCAAAATGGAGATAAGAGACGTTGCCCCTGATTAAATGCAACCCATTGCTTGTTTCAAAAAGAGCTTTTGGCCTAAAGAAAATAAAAAAGCGCAGCCCTTGAAAGAATCCATACAATGGCTGGCTTCAGCATGCAAAATGAAATAATGCTAAATATTTTTTCTGTAATTAGATGTGGAGAAGGATGTAACTTCCTGGGATGCATGTCTAACATGCCACGTGTGTTTGCAGGCAGGCCTGCCAGTCCATGTATGTGCTAGCAGGGTAGGGCAGCCTTTCCTTCCACCTCCTCCTGTATCCTTTCTGGGAGAGGGTTGAATAAATGAAGTGTGTGTTAATGTCTCCTGCCTGTTTGATGCTGATAAAAATGTTGTAAAAAAGAGTACAAAAGATTGCAGAGTGCCCCGCCCCCCCACCCGGCTTGTGTACTTAGCAGTCAGAGGCAATTCTCTCCATTGTCACCACCATGAACAGCTCTGCAGCAAATTCATGGAAAATAAATCCAGTCTGAATTAAAATGAGGGCGTTATGCATATGTTTGTCTTAGTTTGAATAATGTTTGAGGGAGGAAGGTTGCATGGAATGGGGAGACATGGGGATCCCCCCTCCTGCACACACACACACATAGTACACAGGTTTCTTTTCTTCTGGGCAGTGCATTTAGCATATGGGGGAATTTTCTAATGCCATGTTTCTTCCCACACATGGGAAAAAACAAGTCTAGGTCAATTTCACATTTGTAAATGGTTCATGGACCTTCCTGTCCTTTCCTTTTTCTAAAAACAAAAAGTGAAATCTTCACATTCATATTGCTGTGGTACTTTCCCAGCACTCCAGAAGAAATTGGGTAAACAAATAACAAGGAGGATAGGAAAACGCCTGTTGGCAGCAGCTAGAAAATAGCTTCTGATCTGCTGGAGTGCTGCTCTTCCACTTGGAAAGGTGTGTTTATCAAGTCACTTTGTGTCATAGTCTTTTCTTGATCTTCTGTGATGTAGAAGGGCCTTAAAGCCACTCTTCCCTCCAACATTCAGAACACCCTCCTCTCCATATATCCTTTTTTCCCAGAATCAAGCAGAAGCACATTACAGAGGCCACAAGCATGCCCGCAGACTCAGAGCAATTGAAACAGTGAAAAATAAGCACAAGATGGCAGACAGTAGCAACCAAGAGAAAAGAACTGACTTTGATACTGCATTAGATCTCAGTGGAGGCACCAGCAGCAGCAGCAGCAGCAGCACCAACACAGGTCAGTGGCAGTGAAATTTTAGTAGATGGCATGCAAGAGGCGGCGTTCTCATGGGGAACATTTGAGTTTTGGCAACTCTCTCCATATAGAAACTGGATTGGGTCAGTTTTGCTGTTTTTTGAAGGCAACATAAGAGGGTATGTGGGATTATAGGTCATCAATGGAAGCCCACCTTCGGGATCCCCCCCCCCCAATGAGGTGAGGGGGGAATTGGTGAAGGAAAGGGCCTTCCCAGTCATTACACCTCACCTTTGGAATTCCCTTCCAAGGGAGGTGCAAGTGGCGCCCACTTTACCTTGCTTTTGGCACCAACTTAAGACTTTTTAATTTAGTATTTGTTTTTACATTATGACTATTGGTCTTGCTGCTGGTTTATTGTTTTATTGGTTTGTTGTTTTATTTGTTATATTATGTTTATTCCTCCTGTTGTATTTATATTTTATTTTTACTTCATTACATTTCATGGTTTTAGTTATTATTGTTATTTTTATCTGCATTTTCTATTTTTATTCTGTATCACTGTTTATGATTGCACTGTGAGCTGCTCAGAGAGCCTCTGGCATACAAATCAATGAATGAATAAATAAATATTTAGGGCACAAGCCTATGCCTGTTTAGACAGAAAAACATCATACAACATCCAACAACACACCATATTGGTGGACTATGCTGGGAATTGTAAGGGTTTATTTTCTTTCTAAACTTGTATAGAATTGCAGCTGTAATTAGATGTGACATAAAATATATTGTTGCCTCTCCCATGTTTTTTATTTGTTTCTGGAATGGGTAGAGGGTTGAATCCTTTCTCCCAGTGCAGTTTTCCCCCCCTGGAAATCTCCCATCCCAACTCTGGTGATTTTAGCAAAAAGGTTGACCTTGGAAGCTGCAGATAGCTTTGTCAGGAAGGTTGATTTTCTGCAAGATAATGGCATAGAAGCCAATATATGGAAGGATGAGGAAATTGGCTTTGATTATGTTTCTCAGTGGCACTCACCCTTATCAAAGCAGAGAACAGAAGATCTTCTAAACAGCTTCAAATAAAGTTTGGAGAGGTTGTCATGAACTGCTACAGTCATCTACATATGGTGGTCATGTCCCCTCATGCCCCTTTTGTCAACAAAGTCTTCAAAGAAATTAGCAGCATGAATCCAGATCTCACAGTCCCAAGTATAATCCAAAGGATTTGCAGCCAGCTCTGCATAAAGATTGTATTTTATGTTCTTTAACCTGAAGCAAGAGTAACAATTTCAAGACAGGAGAAAAGTCCAGTAGATTTTTCTACCAAAGGTTGGCTTCTCAGGCTTTGGGATCATTTATTAGCAGATAGTCTTATCCACCATAAGAAAATTACTAAAGGTCATAGAAACCTGAAACATTTTATGCATCATGGTGTGTCATTTTTCCTGGTACATTGATCATACATCCAGATACAATTCCCTTCGGATTATTACCATATTGCTAACCCATAAAGAGAAAATAATATCAGCTTGGGGTTTTACAGTTTTGTACTCTGTGCATCATAATTGAATTGATAAGGTTTTATTGCTTTCTTGGCTTAACCCATGTTCATTGTACTGAAAAAAATATATTAAAAGGGTTAAAAAGAAAGGGGGAAATGGCACAGGGAAAGTGTTAAACCCCTTTCACTAAGCCCCTGTGGTGCCAATCCAGATTGGATCTCCCTGAAGCTGCTACTTTAAATGGGGAGTTGAAGAGGCTGTGACATCAGACCTCATTGGTAGGATGGTGTGCAGTTCTGTGTGCCTCATCTTAGGAAGGATGTAGAAAAAATTGGAGCAGGTTTAATGGAGGAAACCAAAGATGGTCAGGGGTATGGAAATGGAGATTTGGTAGCATCTTTAAGCACCCAGATGGGGATATGACAGTGGTCTCCAATTAATTGAAGGTGAAGAAATTAGTCCCTTCTTCTCTGCTTCTGCAGAGGAACTTAAGGTCTAAGTTAAAGGAGGTTAGTTATGGTTTGATAAACTTTTCATGAGAAGAGTGCTTTGGTAGTAGAGTTGATTATCTGGGACTGGGAGGCTCCATCCTGGAAGCTGGGCAGCCATCCGCTGTGTATGCTTTAGCCCTGAATTTCCTGCTTCAAGCAGGATGTTGGAATGATAGGGACTGCAGGGGCACGTCTAACTCTGTGATTCTAGTTTGACCTGGAATAAGGTAAATATATACTTTTTATTCTTTCTTTATTATATTTCTACACTGTCTATCAGTCCAAAGGCTCCCTTGGGTCCTTTTTAATGCATGGTGGTTTTAAATAATGTGGTCGTCATAATTAAAACCTATTTGTATAGTGCGTTCAAATGCATGATCTGGTTGTAATCCTTACAACAATCCTGCGAGACAAGCTGTATTGCTGGGGAACTGAGACTAAGAGTAGTGCATGCAAATTAGTAAATGTTTGGCTGGGGTAAGATTTGAACCCGTGACCTCCTGATTGGTAGTTCAATCTCTTACAGACAGCACGGTGCATATCACCTTTTTCATTGTTACATCTAGTGTAATAGAAATAACTTATTCTTCATAGTGGTCTCTGTGCATCACACACATAAGGACTGTGCAGCACATGCAACATGGAAAGCCTTTACGGCAGGGGTCTCAAACTCGTAGCCCGCGGGCCAATTGCAGCCCATGGGACGATATTTTGTGGCCCCCACTTGATATCAAAGTTTAGTGATAGTGCGGCCCGCGCTTTTTTCTCACACGCACCTGCGTGAGTCGTTACCCTGGGCGCAATGTTCCCTCTAAGCTGCGCGCCGGGCCGGTCGGGGCACGGGGGAGGGTTCCTGCCGCCTTCAAAGCGCCGGCGGCGCCCGGGCCGGCCTCCGGGAGCGACCTGGGATGAGCGGCCCACCTCCACCGCGGTGGTGGAATACTTGATGCGGCCCAGCCTCACCCAGACTCTACTTCCAGCGGCCCCCAGGTAAGTTGAGTTTGAGACCCCTGCTTTATGGCCTTCTTCAGGCCAGAGGGGACTCAATCCACTGACACCTCTACAGAATCCATGCCAAACCACCTGAAGGCCTGCTTAGCATGAGCACCCCCCTCTCTCTCTCTTGCTCTCTCGCTCTGTCTCTCCCTGGCTCCTCCAGCATGCCTAGCAGTTATCTCGCATCCTCAGTCTTGGGGTCCCCCTGATTCCTCCAAGGGCCTCAAACCTCATCCAAGAAGGCCCCCAGCACACCCTCCTGACCCTCCTGGCAATTGCACAGTCTGTGCCCACCGGACCGTCGTCACCCCGTCTCCTTCTCTAGCCATCCAGATCCATACAGGCAGCACAGTTCTCCCCTGTGCCCACAAGGCCCTTGCCTCCAACAGAGCTTGCATGGGGTCACTGTACCACTCTCACCACCCTTTGCGCACCATAACAGCAGGAGAAGGGAGAGCCCCTATTCCCCCTTGGACTCTCCACATGAGTCCCCTACACCATCTGCCCAGCCTGGAAGACAGCAGGTTTCTATAGCATTGTACACCTGAGCACACACTCCATGCACTCCTGGGCCACCTCGACCACCCCTCACTGCACCCAGATGCACAGCACCTTGCGAGCCCCCATGTGGCCCATGCCCTCAACCTCTGGCTGCCCCCACCATCTTGATGCCCACACAGGGTGAGCCTCCCCTTTCATTATTCCTAAAGCAACGACAGCCCCTCCATCCTATGTAAGCTTGCCAGTCACCCGTATGTGTGTAATGCATGATGAAGAAAGATGCTTGCCTGTAACCATCATTCTCTGAGTGGTCATCTGTGCATTCACATAACCCACCCTCTGCCCTGCTAGTTGTTGTCAGCTGGCGCACCACTGCGCTTATGTCTCTGTTCATTCAATTGCCTGGGGACGGTGCAGTCTCCAAGGGACTGAGGGACTGGGCAGGGCCCCCTCTCCTTATAGCAGGACTCCAGAGGGGACCGGCACCCTGTCCACTCTGTGACGCTGAGCTGCAGAAGTTTCTTTTGACCTAGGCCTTCCACTGTCACTTAAGCCCGTATGTGTGAATGCACAGATGATCACTCAAAGATTGACAGTTACAGGTGAGCAACCTGTCTTTTTCCATAGATAGGCAGTGAAAAGCTTAATGGAAAAAGCTTCCTGACTCAATTTAGGTTTATTACAGAAAAAGCTGAAATGAAGCCACAGTGTCATGTGCTTTATTCGTGCAAACAAAGCCATGGGATGTACTTCTGTAGGGTTTAGGGCGGGTGGAGCAGTGGTTGGAGAAGTGTCTTTCTGTACAGTTGCAACTTTGCCTTACAGAAATCACAAATTAAGGGTAGAATCCCATGCAAGTGTAGATGGAAAAAAGGCCTACAGCTTCTGGCATACCACTTTATCCCATGAAGCTCTAATACCACAATGTTGCTTCTAAGAAAAAGGCACCAGGCACACCAAATATTTAAACAGGGTATTTTACCATAAATTGGCAATAAGTTGCAACATGATTTCATCAAACAAATTTCCAATTCCTTCGGTACCTTTTGAAGAGGGTACAGTACACACACACGCATGCACAAGAGGAGTGGGAAACCACAAGAGAGCAGGTGCACATGTGCAAATGCTAACACACCATAAAAACCCTCAGCACAATATAGGTCCTCTTCTCTCTCTGGGATGTGAAGAAGGTTCTATTTGATGGTATTGCAGTTTGAGCCTTGTACTCTGTACAGGAAAATCCAAGGCATTGAGAAATTGACTGAAACAATGTACACATTTACTATTTGTTGTTGGGATAGTAGGGTTTTGCCCAGTGCACAGGGTTGATGCTGGAGACATTCAGCTCTCTTCCTACTCTTATTGCCGGCCCTGGAACTGGAATATGCATTCTTTCTCTTGCTGCTTCCATCACTGCCATGGAGAACTGAATAGGAGTTTAAGGATTTGTTAACTGGCACAGTCCTGAAGAGCCAAAGGCTCTCGAACTGGGGAGTCACCCATGTGGCTGAGGTGCCTTATGATGGCTAACCAGAGGTTGGCACTGCAGGGCCATTGCTGTGGTTGACAAAAGGATAGTATTGTAGCTATCAGTTCAACAAGCCCTTGTGCTGCAGGGATCCCTTCAGCCCACTCTTTCTGGTAGCTGTCTTCTTTAGCAGTACCTTTACTTATTTACCTGGCCCTTATCTGTTCCAGGTTTCTTGGGAAAATGTGCATGCCACCCATCAGTAACAAAATTTCTAGGATGGCTGTTAACTATCCATAGCAATAAGAATGAATAAAGTAGAACAATAAATTCAATAGAACTGGACCTAACAAAGCAGTCAATGTAGATCAAGCAGAGGAACTGCAGAAACCATTAAAGATGATGTGCTGGAAAGCCCGAGCACATAAAATGGTGTCTTCATCTGCCATTAAAAGGGCATCAGGTTCAGTGTTAGGCAAGCCTTCCATATACAGCTGAAAACAGCATTTGTGATCCACCAAAGATCAGAGGCCAAGAGGACTCAGATGCCTGAATAAGGCTCAGTTGAGAAGGGAGCCCTGTGTGGAGTCCATGGCCTCTAGAAAGAGTCACAGAAATCATGAAGAAGCACTGCCTACCAACGAGCAAATGAGCTTTGCTGTAGCACAGCAAGCCAGAAGTGTCAATAAGGTGCTGGGAAATGGCCTGCATGCAGTTTGGCTTTCTGAGCCCAGTATGGTGGAAGAATAATTTCAGTTGAGGGATTGGTTTAACATAAGCAAAGTTCAGTCATTTATCTGCAGAAGCAACCATGTCCTTTGCAGGAAAACAAACTTTTTCCCCTTTTGTTAGCACAAGCCAATGGCCTGCCAGAATTGAACCAGCCAACTGCAGAGCACTGCAGCCTCGTCTTGATGTCCCCCATAGAGGAATCTGCCGAGCTAGCAAGTGGCATCCTGTCCCTAGTCTCCCCACCAGCTTCAGAACCTTCAGAAGGAGCTCCAGACACGGCAAGTGTGGCATCACCATCCACAGTACCCCAAGCAGAGATGCCAGCCAGTGAATCCGACCACACCACCAGCTCAGCGCCAGACACGGAGAAAGAGGGGAAGAAAAACAAGCACCACCTCTACTGTCCCACCTGCAAAGTGACAGTCAACTCTGCCTCTCAGCTGGAGGCTCATAATTCTGGTAAGGAGTGTATCACTGGCTTGTACTGAGCTGAGCCCTGGGAAAACTCATGGCTCAACCCCAAAACCATAGCTGGTACAATAGACATGCATATGTTTAGGGTCTATTGTATGCAGCCCTTACTGACTTATTTCCTCCAATTGTGATTATCCAGCTATTGGTGCTGGAACAGACCCATGGTAAGTAAGGGGGTCTTCATTCTTCTTGCTTCAGAGAAATGTCTATACACAACTTGAGGATATATCATCAGAATTCATTGTTACCAATACATCATAGTAGTATTCAAGGCTGGTACAACTGTAGGACTTACTTTTATGCCCAGGTCTTTTCAGAATTTCCCCTGCAATTAACTATTCAAAATTTGTGCTAAAATGAAAGATTTCTGAGTTTCGTAAGTTTAGTCCAATCTCCTAATTTTCATTAAATGTGTGTTCTACCCAGAGTCTTAATTTTAGTTTGGGTGTAGTTTGCCATTTGAGGGCGTGACGCAATGCTGGTAGAGATATTCGAACATAGTAGATGTGATGTAGAAGACCATGAGGGTGGGGCAGGGGACAAAAACACCTTGCCTTGAGCACAGCTTCATTTTTGTTAAGCAACTGACAGGCTTCAACATAGCTACTCTCCTTGTCACCCACTTAGGCCACAAATAACCACAGGTAGGTGTTAGTGGGCTGTTAGCTTTTTGTGGATTTATTTGCAACGTTGCTGACTGAATATTTTGAAACACTAGAACCTACAACTATTTGGTGCCTGAACAGAAACACTGCATGGATAAAAACCTCCAGCCTTTCTATTCTGAATCAGATGGAGAGCAGCTATGCAAAATGAGGTCTTTTGGCAGCAAACCTCATATAGTTTAAAGGTTTGGAACACCTCCTCCATTCCATCTTAAGTTATTCCACTCTACAGATTTGAACTTTTCATCATGTTCAGGAACATCTGTTCCCCCGCTTTCTAGAATAATGTTTAGCCTGATAAAGAATTTTAATGATGAATTTTGTTTCTTTGTAACTTTTAGGTATGCCAAATAAAAATTTTACACTAGTGTCACTTTTAAATTCTATGCAGAATTTTCTCCCAATTAAATAATTGACTTGCTTTTGCACTCACTTTTCTTAAAGTTGCCATTTTTTTCTGTCTTGTGTTTTTAAACAGAACAAGAAAATTCAATAACAAGGGTAGCAAGAAATAAATCCAGATTTATTTGGATTTCGCTTTGCTTTCCTTATTGCCCTATTCCTTCCTTTTTATCACCAAGAATGTAAGATAATGCAGTAGTGATCTCTAGAGCTTGTTTGAAACCTCAAAGGGATTTAGTCTTTATACAGATAACATATATAATATACAATGTAACAGAAGAGGACATAAGCATATAGCATATTTTTAAAAAGTGGTTTGGGGACACTTCAGTTTTGAATTTAGCAAAAGGCAAAAAGCACGCCATCCATTTCCTTGTTCTTAAACGTTGGTGTCATGAACCAAAGCCCAGAGGCAAACAAGATACCCTGGACACAGGACAGCTAAGGACAGCTGTCCTTGTTATTATGGCACAGAATACAGCTTTAAAAAACCCAGCCTAAGTTAAAAATGTAGAAGTAAATTTAGAGCAAGGACATGAACACACAAATGCCTTGTGGTTTTCTCAGCTTCTATATATAGAAAATCTAGGAAGAGAGGCAGAAAAATACCTCTGATGCTCAACCTGCACTCTGTTGTGTAAGTCCCTTGCCAGGGAAAAAAAACTCAGAGACTTATTTCATTCAGCATGGAGTTTACTCTGCAGCCTCTGCTACTGCAAAGCTAACCAGAGTTGCGAAATGTTGTTATGAAACTGTCTTGGGATGTGTTCAGCTGGGACCACCATTTCCACTGCAGAACTTCCTAGGAAAGGTGTCCACAAAGCCATTTTCATTCTGGTGTCTTGTATCTCCCGATACGTCTACTTCTTGCCCCGTACTCCTCACATTTAGCAAAGTGCAAGAGCCAACTCTAAAACACATTATCTCTTTCTTTCTCAGGAGCAAAGCACAAGTCAATGCTGGAGGGCCAGGCAGTTTTACCAAGGCGAGGCAGGGGGAAAGTCCTCTCTCGAGTGGGGCACAAGCCTAAGCGTATTGGCAGCAAAGGCAGCCTCAGCATCCAAAGCAAGGCCTTCCAATGCCAGGTGTGCGAGATCTTTGTCAACTCAGAAACCCAGCTCAACCAGGTAAATAGATTGGTTTTTCTAGGCAGAAAAGCGGTTTTTCCTTCACCTACTCTGAATCAGCTCTGCTGTTATGCTTAGCATTATGTCACGCTGTCACCAGTTTTGAAAAAAAGCCAGTTTCAAGGGACCAAAATGTTTCCTGAAAAAAATCCCATCAAATACTATTTCTTGCCCTCGCCTCCCCACACTCTAGCTTTGGCTCTGCCCTGGTTCTAATGTTGTAGTGAAATTAGAGATGAAATATCTTTACAGATAGAAATTTCAGCATATTTGCATGTGAGTCAACCTAGACCTTATATTCAGATAATGGAAGCATCTCTTCTATGGTTTCTTTTAAATAAGAAAACCCATTTCTTGTATCAGGGTTAAAAGGTGTTGTAGGAAGAAGGGAGTTTAACATTTTGCTTCAGGCAGCTTTTCCTCCATGGAACTTCAAATGTGCATTGATCTTTGAGGAAGCCCCCCAAAAGTGCTTTCTCCAATTCACATCAAGCTCTCGAGGTTAATTTTATGTGCATCTGTATGTAATATCTGGTTATTTAATTAATCAATTGCAAATGCTTTTATCCTACCGTTCCACTAAAAAAAGCTCTTGGAAGCCAAGTATTATTACTAATAATACTTCTAATAATACTAGTCCACAATAACAATAACAGTGGTCCACAACAAAAATGGATTAAAACAACAAAATAAACTTTTTAAAGAATTTGAAGAATGGGAGGAGCTTGCTGTTGGGGGAAAAATTGGCCTAAAGCTTAAGTATATCAGCAGGGCAAGCCTTTCCAACCTTTCTAGAGCAAAAGCCTGTGGAAGCAGGAGAGGCTTGACAGGGCAAGGAAAACCCATCAGCAATACCAGTTCATTCTGGAGGAGGTGAGCCTCTTTAAGGGAGCACAGAAGCCTGGGAGGCCTGCTTTGTATGCCAGCCAAATACAGCTGGGTGTTGGCTGCAGATGCAGAAGAGCCCCTCCAGCAGATCTTGACACTAGGATTTCAGCAGACCCACAGGGAAGGCTGTCCCTCAAGTATCTTGTCCCCTTATATTGCTCTCTTGAGTGACATGAAAACGAAGGGATATGTTGCATGAATTTAATGAGCCCTTGAAATATTTTCTGGACTTGACCTCCTTGTGGCTTGTTCCACTTTTATCCTTGTCTGTCTTGGCATTTTCATCCACATCTCACCAGAATTAATTAATGGATGTTTAAAATAATGTACAGTAACAACAGAGATGTATTTTAATTATTAGAGGCCTCTTTTATATAACATAATATAGCTGCTTTAAAAAATGCATTATTGTTCAAATATCAGTTATGAGCATTTTCTTTCATTTCTCTTATGACTACAAAGTATGATTGATATAGATAGATAGATAGATAGATAGATAGATAGATAGATAGATATCCTTAATAATTTCTGGTTTTACATATAATTCTAGTCCCAGGAATTATTTGAAGGTCACAACTGACACCTTGAATTGAGCTCAGAAATGGACTAGAAGTGAATGAAACTTTGCAATGTAACATATCCCAATAAACATTTCCAGTCTTCCATCTAGTGGCCACATAAAGCAACTGTAGTTTATAGGCCAAATAAACCATCTTTGATGTAATCAAGAGAGGTATGTAATGCACATTTAGACAGAAAAAGGGCCTAGAACTAGGAGTTGTAAAGCCTTTTTTGTGTTTACACTTGCATAGGATTTTACCTTAAGTCATGTATCCCCATAGCTAAATACCTAGTTTAGCCCTTAGTGTACATATGCCGATAACAATCTTTCAGTTTATTTTAATTTAAATACATGCCACAACGAATGTGTAGGCTTTAAATTGCCATATGACTCCTTGTTCTTTCAGCTGCAATAGACTGGTGCAGATACCCTCCTGAATTTTTTTAATGAACTTTTCATACTGGATTCCCAACAAAAATCTAATGTAGGAAGTGTTGGAAACTGAGTTTTTATTCTAAACATGCTCAACTAATTTTGATATTCAGAATGAGAAGCAGTATCAGAAGCCTTTAAAATGCATTTTCAGTAGACTTCAGAGCTTTGTTTAAAGTTCAATTTTTAAAAAACTAGGTGAAATTTTTGGAAAAATTAGGGTGGACCTTTCAAATTATGAGAGCTGGTATATTTATTTTCTTTTCTCTTTACATAGTTTAACCTAAAGTGGTATTGCAGGGTTTACACTGAAAACAAATGTCATGGAGATATAGGATTGGATCCAGAGTACACCCATGGAAATCAATGTAATTTGAGTCCATCAGCATAATCGAAGTCCATTGATTTCAAGGTATTTAGTTTAAGTATAGAACCTTGCTTTGAAATGCTGTCTAACACCAACCTCATCCAGTGTGCTCTGCTGCACTTGCAGCAATTAGGTGGTTACCCTTCAGGGCACCTTCTAGGCCTACTATTTAAATAGTACACTGGGAGTCTGCGTTTCTTCACCCACAGCACATGAGCAGCAGGCGGCATAAGGACAGACTTGCAGGAAAGCCACCAAAGCCCAAATTCAGCCCGTACAGCAAACTGCAGAAGAACACAGCCCTGGCAGTGAGTATTCTCAAGGTACTTGTCGCTGAGAGTTCAAACTAACTATGCAGTTCATTGGAAATGCCACACAAAGGAGCTGGGGGAATTTTCCTAGGGTTGCTGGTCTAGCCATGGGAGCCTTGTCACCCTTCTTGGTCTGTTGAGACTTGGGTCTGAGTACTGAATGGGATGGTGTAAATTGGTGTCCTGAAACAGCAGGGGGTTGTACCCAATGACCTTCATGGCCCCTTCCAATTCTACTGTGATATTCAGCAGTTTGGTCTTTCAGCCAAACTATAGGCATTTTTGCAAGCAGTGCTTGGAGAATGAGATGTAACCATTTACATGAGAGGAAGGGAAGGAAAAGGCTCAATGGTATAATGTTGGATGACAGATCAAGACAAATCCCTTTTGTATGTCATTTTTCAATACAAAACTTAGTAGAGTTCTCCAGATGTGTTTGACTACAATTCATATCATCCCCAACTAGCACGGCCAATCTGAAGGGGTTCCAGTTAGTAAGAGCTGATTTAGAGGACTGTGTTGTGGTGTAATGCTATAATGACAAATAGAATTTATTTACATATTTATTATTCAATTTATTTATACTCCATTTTTCTATCAAAGAATGGTACCCAAGGCCAATGACAATAAAACATGGATTAAAAACAAAGTCTTAATGAAATTGTAACATAAAACCAAAAATGAATACATCAAAATACAATTAAAAATGCAACAATAAAATGAGGTAAGCCACACAGACCAATTAAAAAAACCTATGTCAGCAGATTTGCTGATATGCCTAAAGCTTCCTTGGTTTTTTTCTTTCAGATTAGATTAGACAATTACATAAACAGTAATGTCATAAAGGATAGGTAGAAAGACCAGTAGGTCTTCCATAACCAGGCAGAGGAACCAACACTGCACCCTCCTTTAATAAGAGGGCCATGCTCCATTGTCCTGAACTGCATGGGAGAGGTAAATTTCAGCAGGTACAGCATGTTTTGTAAGGGTGAGAAAAGAGCAACTGCTGCTGAAATTTTGTTGTTGTTTGCTTGCATTTGTATCCTGCCTTACTACCAATAAAGGCAGCTTAGAGAATCGATTTAAACTGATTAAACCAATTAAACAACACGTATCATAAAAACACAAAATATCATAAAATAGAACCATTCCAGAATTAAAACAGCACCCAACCCAGAAACACAAAGCAGCCTGTAATTGGCAGCTATCAGAAGGATAGCAGGGCAGAAGTGACTCAGTGGAATGGAATTCCACTGCATGGAAGTGGCAACCAGAAAGGTCTTCCTTCATATCACCAGCAAGTGCTCCTCCTTTCCTGAAAGAAGGGCCTGTCAAAGACATCTTAAGGAACAGCTGGACTCATATGAGAAAAGGTAGCCTGGTCCCAAGCCATGTAGGACTTTAGAAGTCATAACCAAAACTTTTAGAGGTTTCGGCAAGGGGCGGCATAGAAATGTTATAATAATAATAATAATAATTGTTGTTGTTGTTGTTGTTGTTGTTGTTGTTGTTGTTATTATTATTATTATTATTATTTTAGGCCACCAGTAACAAACTGGTAGCTGGTGAAATTACAAGGGAATCATGTGCTTCCTGTAACTGTCCCCAGTCAATGATCTGGCCACAGCGTTCTGGGCCAGCTGAAGTTTCTGAACAGTTTTTAAAGGCAATTACAGGCAGAACACATAGATACTCTGGTTTACCCAGCTATTGAAAGTGCAGGACCCATATCCAGTACCTCATCCCTGTGCTCGTAGTCACCAAGGGTGCTATATGGGAAGGACATCAGGTCTGCTCTTGCAAGGCAAATTGTAACAGAATACATTTTAGCTCACTTGGGTACCAAAGCAGGACATGTCATGACAAAGTTAGGTGCAAATGGGCTTGCTTTAACTCAGTCATTCTGAAATCGCTTTGGGTTAGGGTTAAGAGGTTAGGAAGAGTCCCAAGTTGCCCCTCGCAGAGGAAGGTATCTACTCTGCATCTGTAAGATGTATTCCTCAGGTCATGTCTCCTTCCAGTCATCCCACACCAGGGTGCCAGGAAGGTGCCTTATCCTGAGCCAGATCATCTCCCATTGACACTGTGGCTGGATTCACACAACATGACAAACAACCCTGTACTGTTTCCACCATTTGCAGATTTTTGCCCCAAAACTTGGGCATCTAATTCCCAAAGAGAGTGATGGTGGGACTCAAATTTGCTTCAGAAGATGCAGCCTAGAACTGGTAGCCGGTTCCCCAGTTCCAGAAGTGTGATGCGTGGCCTTCATTATGGCACAAATGCATGATGTGCATGTTCAAGAATGCCTTTCTTTCCATGGTTGATTCACGTAAATGCTGAGCAAGGGCTTCTAAAACAGGTCTTGGACTTGGGGCCATCTTAAATTAATCATTGGAAGATTAAAGCCTGCCCCTCTGTGTTCCCATCTTTTGCAACTTGTTGTCTCACATGTTTTTTCTCTCTCTCCTCTCCCTTCTTCTTATCCTTCACAGTCCAAACTGGCTCTCCAGAAGCACCTTACGAAGACTTTGGCTGCACGATTCCTGCCAAGCCCCCTCACCACCGCCACCATGTGTGCGCTGCCCAGCCCGCTAACGCTCCGACCAGCTGCTGCTACCCTCTTTCAAGCGCCCATCTTTGGACCAGCGCTTTTCCGTACCACCCCAGGCCCCGTGCGGGCAGCAACAGGCCCCATTGTCTTTGCCCCCTACTAGAGAAGCTCGGTGCTGTGCTTGGTTCATGAGCTTTGCTTGTGAAGTTCAAGGAATGGCACTGCAGGGAAAATCAGGGAGAGAGGGCTGTGTTCAGAGCAGAGATGAATCAGAATCTTTCCACTGTTTATGCAACTATCTTTCTATTTTGTTTGGGAATTCCACCTGCCTCATTAACCAGGATACATTTAGGAGTAGGATGGTATTTCTCCTATACACGCACCAGCCAAAGTTGTCCACCTTATTAACTTATGACAATCGCACAATGTACCTGGCTCCCCAGCATTTGTCATGCACCCGGGAGCACAGTTCCACTTACATGAATGGTCTGAGGGCAAAGGGAAAGGTGCCATTGTACACAACATTTCTGTGATCCACATGAGATCCAGCAGCCTCACATGGGGCCGTGGGTTATGGGTGGTGAGGTCAGGGTCAGACTAGATATGAGATGGGAGTTCTGTGACTGGAAATCCCAACATGTTTTCTTTCCTTAAAAGACAACTAAGGATTTCTGCAGGAGCAAATTCTTCCTCGACATGTGCAGACACCTATGCCATACCTTGGCCTGGATCTAGACCACCTCCTCTCTGGAGCCACTGCTCTTTGAAAATGATAAATACCTTACGCATTCAAGTCATAGAATTCCCGTGCCGCATGCATTGCAGCTCTGAAGCTCTCCCTCCCATGTAGCCACTCTCAAAGATTTAAGTTGGAAGGAGGTGCTGAGGAATCCCGATACTTGTGAAGCAACTGAGCTGGTTCTTCAGACTGCGAGAAACTGAGGGTGCGTACACAAGTGTTATATTACAATAGAATTATTTTCACAGGGAAAACATGTAAGTTAAATCCCATCCACACTGAAGCCTTGATATTTAATTGCAAAATGAAAGGAACCCTAAAACTTTTCAGAATGACCAAATGATTTTCAATTTAAGAGCTGGAAATCCCAGATTCTGCTTCCTGCTATGGGTGAGGGACAGAGCAAGGAACAAGAATAAGAAAGAAGTGTATAGTTGGAAGGGGTGGGGAGCCCAACTGTCAGCTTTTAAAATTTGTTTAAAATAGTTTTTCTTTCCAATTTTGGAAGGGGAGTGGGGTTTGGATGCCAGCTGGTGAATGGGGAGCTCTCAGTACTTTACGTGGCATGCATGTTTGTCACATGCACAACAGTGAACAGTATTCCCTGCGGCAAATATTGTATAGCGTGAAGACAAGACGAGGGCTTGTGAAGACATACTGAATGTACCCCAGGGAGCCGTGTGTCCTGGAGTGTTTGGATCTGCTGGTTTCCTTTCCCATTTGGTGTTTACTTATTTACATCAGGATAGTTTTAGTAAGAATCAGCTCCCTAGTGGAGACTGGCTAGACACCACTGGGCGGAAAAGGAAATTTGGAGCCCATTTGGATGGCTTGTGGCTTTTGTTTGAAGGATGAAATGTCAGGGAGCACTGATAAAGGAGATCTTCTTGAAATGTCCAAATACCTGAATTTCAGCTTTTGGTTGCAAAGCTCATTGGACAGACGTTTCCGCCACTGAGAACATCTGTTGCAGATGTTTTCTGTAGCAATTCCTTTCAGTACACACAGTGCAGAATGTTTCATGCAAATAGATAATTCGTCCTGCTTATTTCTAGACTGTCCTTAAGCTGCAGTCAGATTCCTGGATACTGCAGACTCATTGTACATGTCAGCCACCAAGTTTATAAAATCACTTGACTGGAATGGGCTGCAGGCTGCTGTCCTCCCTTTTTGTCACAAGGCAGGACATCAGACACACAAGCAAGCCATGAGGCACATCAGCTTCCTGCAAAGCTCCAGATTACTTTCACAGGTGAAGCAAGCCAGACGGGAGGAAAGAGCCTTAAGAGCACTTTGAGCCGTGGGAAAATGCTTTACCTCGGCAGTTTCTGACAATCAGGCGAGTGCTAAACATGAGCAGAATCTACCTGCTGAGGCTTTCATGCGGGAAATGCTGAATGCCTGCTTCTGGTTCCTAAGAGGTATGGGGAGATTTTGCTTCAGCGAAACATAGCAGTGCACACCTTTTTTAGGTGTAGTCACGACGCAACATTTTGCAATCAGTATTTGTTTGTTCTAAGTCACTTGCACAGATTTGCTTTGCTGTTTGAGGAGATTCTGTTGCCAGGATTTCTGCAAAGCAGATGATCCAAGAAAAGCAAGACCGGAAAAATCATCTCCTTTAAAGCCATTGGATCTGCTTCTTGAGGTCACTACGTATCGCCACTTACTGAGTCCAGCCAGATGCATGCAGTCACTCTGTGAGGAGTTGGACATCTCTATTCTGCTAAGTCAGGGGTGGGCACACAGAATCTGCAGAGTTCATGTGTCCTCCCATCCCCTCTACGTGCCCCTACTGTCTCCCAAAGATTTCCAAAAAGAACACCCCCCCCCATAGTATACATAGTATCTACAAAAAGCACAATATAGCAGCTTCAGCTTTTGGGGGTGCTGCCCACAGCACTGTGTGAACTGCAACCAGTGCAGGGGGTTTGAAAATGGCCCCCAGACCTCAAGAAATCACCCACCCCATGTAGGGAACATTTACTGCACTTCAGCACCTGATCAGAATTCCGGGGAAGCAGGAAGAGCAGGTGGTAGATTGTCTCCAGCTCATGGCAGGACCATGCCAAGTGGTGACATGCAGAGTATGATGAGTTACCACATGGTAGACGTTCATCCTGCAAAATGCAGAGATGGCACAGGATCTTACCAATTAGCCGGATAGTCCCACGGTAAACAGTGAGTGCTCTAAAATAGTCTTATACCTTTCAGTGCTCCCCTTAGTTCTCTTAGAACGCGGGGCATAAGCAAACCTTGCTGAGCAACAAAAAGTGCTACTAGCTCCTCAAGCCATGCACCAGGAGATGAGGCCCAAAGCCATGAGGTTCCAGCAGTTCCTGCCCATCTGGTCCTGCAACCTCTCCTTTATCCAAGCCTTACGCACTTCTTCGCACAGCAGATTCTCTGTTTGCTCCCTCCCTGGCCAAGTGCTGCCCTCCCTCTGTCTATCACCTCCTCACTGAGTGCAATACTGCCTGCCATGACTGGGAACAGGTCTCCAACATGTCAGGTAGAGGTTTTTCCCTGGGCTGGGGAAAATTGGATGTGATCATAACTCTTCATGAACATCCCAGTAGCATCTGGCCTAGCCATTCCTGGCGTTCTTAAGTCCCCAAAATACTGGATCATGCAGTGCAAAGGCCACTGTATGAAGGCAGTTTGTGTGGCCAGAAGAGGTATTTTCTTTCCCTGTGTTTCAAACTTATCAGCAAGCTTGATTCTTACAAACTCATTAACTTAAATGCAAGCATATCCAGCAACTGCTCCTGCAAAATATTTTTGGATAAAGTTGGAATAAAACAGGCAGGATTGCTGGCCTCTGTGAAGTGATGGACCAACCATTCCAATCTATGCAAAAGACCAATGCAGTGGCTTAAGATTGCTGTTTTGCCTTGTTTTTTTGGCTTTGATGCCAGTTTCTGATTCCTGTGCTGTGCTTTATCCAGATGACAAAGAGTGAGTTCTGTGGAAGATGCATGCACACAGAAGGCAAACACCCTTTTGTCCCAGGGTAGTAGCATCTGTTTATTAAATACATAATCAAATATTTAAATATGTTACCTGAGTCAGCCTGCTGAAGAATCCACTGGCACAGCAAGGTGGCTGCCCTGCACGATGGATACCGGGTGCCATCAGGAGTAGCAGTTGGAGTAGGAGAGCTTTTTGGATACCTTGGAGCAGAAAGATCTCCCATGTAAATGCTTTGCAATGAATTATGGTGGCTATAGCAAGCGTATTTGAGGTCTCACGATTTAAACCTCAGAGGGCTTCATCCAGTAGCCTTCAGAAGGATGGACACAAAACAATATTTCCATTGGCTTGTGAAGGCTTTCATTATTTGCCAAGTCAGTAGCTCAGACTCAAAGGGTTACTCTACCATTAGGAAGGAGCAACAGACCAGCATCATCAGCTTTTCCTTATTCTGAGTAGTGGGAGAATGCAAGAAATCTCCAAGATTCCAAATGGGATGAAGACAGAAGGCCAATAGAGCCAAAGGGCCAATTTGAAATTATTTTCATTCTAATCAAGACAAATCTACCTTTTCTTCTCCCAAGCCAGTGTGTGGTGCAGTTCTGCAAATTTGCAGCAGCCACGCAGATCAGTTTTGCTGTGCTGAAGATTTTTTTTAAGGCAGAACATAAATGCAATGTATATTGATGCTTTAAAATATTGAAGGCATAGTATTGATGGGAGGGAGGTATAATACTACCAATTGCCCCACTGTTCAGCTTTCTGGAACACACACTTGTTGCGAAAGCCTGGCACATGTTGTGGCCACAAAACAGTCAGCAAAGGTAGAAAACTTGGGAGAAGGGTGCAAATCTCAAAAGATCAACACTCTCAGGAGGCTGATAATTCACCAAGCTCCGCATCCAGCTGCTCTTGACCCCACTTCCCCAGTTTCATACCTGCAATCCTTGAATTTGATTTCAGAAGAATCTGTACAGGCCTTGCCACTTTCTAGCCATGCCTGTGACAAAATAAGGCTGTTGACAGCAGTTATTACTGGAATTACAATAAGAAATATCTTGATTTCTGTGTTTCTTCTTGCTTCCTCTCCACAACATCTCCAGATGGAGACTGCAATTTTGCAAGTAGATTATTTATGCAACTGTACATTTGATTGCTTAGCTTATTCCATGTGCGTTACACGCATTTTTGAGGGGTCTTCACTCTTGGAACTTGGAGTTACTTTTTATGGTACTGACATGGAATACAGTAGAAAACAGTGGACCTTGCCAGAAAATGCCTATTTGATAGAAGGTATGGGATCATCCAGATTCCATCAGGTAATCTTGAGCATTATTTTCTCCATGCCTTCTCCCATCCCCCCACAACTAAACCTCACCAAAAGCAATATTTAGTGGCAACTGACTTTATGTTGCTCGCAGTAAGACCAAGCCGCTTACTCTTTGATAATT